GGTTTTATTTTTGAAATGCCTTTTAATTTATATATTATGATTATTTTTCCATGAGAAATGAAAACATAAATCTTATTTTTATGTTGTACGTTATATATATGAATGTTTACAATTTACTTAGATAATTTACTGGGTAGCCACATTACTGTAGCAGTACTACATGATTTAATTTCCCGATGGGGCCTTATGACACCAATAAGTTAGGTATGTTCATCCATGGGAGTGGTGTTTTATGGAATGAGTCTCATGGCCAATAACACCTAGTGAATTCTTCTTATATCATGTTTATGTCTACGTGCATGTCAGACCTCATGTTTATTTATGAAGCTGTTATATTTTTACTTCAATCCTTAGCCCTTTTAAGATATTTGGCTATCGTTGGATCTACAGGCTCACCGGGTGAATTAGCCTTGTTTTTAAATTGCGATCAGTGGATTGATATCTCACGATGTGATATCTTATAGCAGTTATGCTAGTTTACGAACTACTTTTATTTACAGTATTATATAACATATTCCTGTTTCACTAGTTATAGTTAGAAGACCATTCATTGGGATACAAGTCTCACCACTTATTTATTTTTCAAGTTTCAGCAATAAAGATTTGTAGCTACTTTATGTGCATCCAGCATAGTAGCTTTTTGCGTCTAACAAAGTTAGGCCCCACTCTTGTCAATAATAACTAGTTGAGTTGTTATTTGATGAGTGAAGGGTAGATAGTTGTATTGTACGTCAACGTTGTTTGAAAAAGGGGAGTATGTAAGATAATTATATTTTCAATTATGATAATAACTGAGATTTTGTCACGTCCTAACCCGGGAGCGCGACCAACACTAGGATTGGCATACCAACCCTAGTAAGTCTCAAACTCTAACAAACAGAAAGACATAGTCTCTGGATAACCATCACTATATATATGTAAATCAAAATATGTCTGAATGATACATAGAGTATCTAGAGTACAAAAGTAAATTTACAGAAAGTGTCCATACAATCAAGTCAGTGCAATGGTGACGAAACTGTCGCTAGAGCTACTGCTGCCAATCGAAACTGAAATCTAGAAACTGAGGGAAAAGGGATGAGTACAAAACTCAGTGAATAATAGTATTACTCTACACATATTAGGACAAGAATCATAACTATCCAAACACAAGTATCATTTCTGTATTTATAACACAGTTTATAAAAAGTCACATTTGCCTCAGATAACACATATATTTTATATCTACACAATCGAATCAGAAAATCAGAAATTTGTTGGAGTATCAGAACGTGTCACATATCAGAACTAGAGCCACATATAGACCCAAAACACTCATCGCACGCTACGGCGACCCACCGTCTGCCGGCTGAGGCCCTAGCATCTCGTATCAGAATCAGAGTCACACATGGACCCAGGGCACTCCCCGCACGCTACGACGATCCACCGTCCGCCGACTGAGCCCCTGGCATCCCGTATAAGAATCAAAGTCACACATCTCATATCTGACATACTGGGATCCCGTGCCAAAATCAGAATCAGAACCACATATATCACATCATTAGGCCCAGGACACTCATCGCATGTTACGGTGACCCACTATCTGTCGGTTGAGTCCCTGGCACTCCGTATCAGAACCAGAATCACATAAAACTCCTGACATATTAACTTTTTAAAAGTGCATGTATCACTTAGGCAAGTATGTAATTAATTACAGAAATAATTTCAAGCTTATCATACTTTAAAACAGATAGATACATGTCCCGGAAGTAATATCATAGTTCAGAAATCAAAACATAGAAACGAACAAAAAACTAGAATGCAAACACATGTATAGAGAGTACTGTCGCTCATTGGACATGTCAAAATCAGAAATCGAGACTCTAATGAATGGCTCACGGATCAAAGTATACCTCCTTAGGTGTATCTACACGCACCAAGTCATAAGTCAAAATCGAAATCAAAATTCTCCTTGAAAGACTCGACTCCCGAAAGTGGCTCGAAACCCTCCCCTTATCCGGACCTTAACATGCATCTCGAAACCCTCTGATATAACCCTATTCAACTCTAATTCATGCCTCAAATCGAAACATAGTTTCATTATTAACAAATTTCTTAAACCGAGATGAACCAGACTCCAAAAGTGTTTAAATTAGCTTCAACATGCCCAAATACCCGACAAACAAACCAAACCGACCATAAACCACCCAAAACCAAGCCAAACCAGATTGAAACTCCACTGAACCAGCCCAAACCGGGCTCTACTCCTTATGAACCAAGCTAAATCGGGCTCAAACCCCCATGAACCAGGGTGAACCGAACTGAACCGGGCTTAGATCCCCCTAATTCTGGTTGAACTAGTCCCAACCTGCTTAGAACCAGACTGAACTAGCCAGAATTTCCATAGAAACACATTGAACTGGGCACACTTGTCCTTGAACTGGGTTGAAATAAGCCTAAACCCTTATTAAATTAGCCAAACCGACCGTATTTCCTCATAAACCAGAATGAACTGGCTTCAAATCACTTAGAACCGGGCTTGCATGGTACAAAACTAGAATGAGACTACTTCAAAAACCACCATTTTTGCCTAAACCAGCCACTACAAGCCTTGAACCAACCTTTCAACCCTAAAACTAGCTGATCCGCTCACCCTTTTTCCAAAATAACACTAAACTGGGACCCTCTGATCCCCAATCCCGATTTAACCCATAGTACACTATGTACGGGACTGGGAACTGGTCCACTCCTCCCAACCAGACCCTTTCAACCCCTAACCGGTCGGTTCTAGCCCAGCTGGGCTGAACCGGCCTGACTGGCCTAGGACAAACCTGGGCAACAGTTGGGTCTATTTTTTCTACCGGGAACCCGGGTTCCAAACCCGGTTCCTTGCGCACAGAACCTGACTTCAATTCTTTAAAATTCAAGTAGAATCAAGTTTACCTGGACTAATTAATCGATGGGGAAGGGAAAATCGACGCCCTTAAACAAATTTTCAAGCTCAAAACAATCTTAAATCGATCTAACTTACTGATTTCTTGTAGGAAATGGCTCGAACCTTCGCAGCCTCCCAAAAATTTCCTATGTCCTTTTTCTCCTCACTTTTTCCTTCTATCTTCTAATTGATCAAGGGGTTTTGTCCTTCCAGCATCGAACTCCATGTTTACATCATCCAAGCTACCTGGTTTTTCCAAATTGGACCGAATTTGGCCAGTTACCCATCAGTCCGGGACCGGCTGAAACTTCCCAATCCGTCACGATCCAATCCCCAAAGTTACATTTCCTGCAATTAAGCCCCTCGAAAATTGCAATTCGGCCCCAGACTCACGCACCTTCTCGCTTCGATCCTCCGCATTTCTTTCTTCGATTTCAACCCCAAATAAATTCTAATTTGGACCAAACTCTTCCAAATTTAGCAGAAATGCCCCAAGTCATTTAATTTCTACTGACAACCCCTACCCAATTCCTAATTTAGTCCCGAAACATTTAATTTATTCACTAACACCCCCAATCCTTTAAATTTACCAATTTCCAAAATAAAAAAAGAAATTTTAGGGATATTAGAGTTTTTTTTGTTATGCTATGTAGAATTTTTGCAGCATTATTTAACTTTTTGGATTTGAGTTATACGCTTGACTCAATAGGTACGATAGTTGAATAAGGTTTGGTCTTCTCCGGTGAATCCCGGGTATTAGAGGTTGCTAAACCCTATTCTACTGCCACATCTCGCTCGAGTTACAGGGTGGGGTGTGACAGCATCTTCCTCCCCCACCACTAGGGGTGGAAATGAGTTAAGCCAGCTCATGAATGACTCATGATTCAGTTCAACAATTAGTTCAACGAGCTAAGCTCATGAACTAAATGGGCAATACATAAGCTGAACTTTTTAACTCATATAAAATATGAGCTGAGCTTGAGTTAAAACAAGTTCAATTCATTTGGTTCATAAGCTGACTTGATAGATATGTACATATATCACTTGAGATTCTAGATACTCATAATTGACTTGTGATGAATAAATTACTCTTTCTTTTTAACTCTTAAATTAATTACATTTCTTAAAATTTAAAAAACAAACATTATTTTTGATTTTTGAAAATGTTGAATATAAAAGTTAATTGTCCTTAATTCATTTTTTTTAATATTAAGAGAAAATTATGTAGTGATAAAATTGAAATAATTTCTCGTTAAGTAACCAATTTAGAAAAGATAAACTATTGCTTTAATAAGGTTTTTATTTTTTTTACAAGAGTAATATAGCACATTAATGTCATCAATAAACAAAAAGAATAGTAAAAAAAATAAATAGAACAATAAAATACAGACTAGTTAAAAATTGTAATTATGATATAATATTTTTTCATGTGTCAAAGGTAATTTAAAGCTTTCTATTAAATAAATTTTTTTATTTTGATATTAATTCAAATTATATATAAAGATTATTTATTGATGTTGCTTGAATAAGATATATAAATTATTAATTATTTAAAAATTTTTGATATATGTGAGCTAATGAGTCGAGCCGAGCCGAGCCAAGCTGAACCGCTCTGCTCGTGAACTTAGTACGAGTGAAGTCTGAGTCAAAAAGATACATTTACTTAAAAAAATGAATTGAATTATAAGATAACATAAATTTAAATAAACTGAGCTTGAACTGAGAGTGCCTCAGCTCATTTTCACCCTTACCCACCATGGCTTTTCCTTCTGCCCTTCCTGAAAGGGCCAGCGTAGATTTAGAGATTATTAAATAATTTCAGATATAATAAAAAATAGGTTTTGGTATGTCCCCAACAAGGGCTGTTAATGTAGCCCATCAAAGTAAAAAAGAGATGGCCATTTATTATAAATAAATGTCTGACTAGTTTTATAAATGTTGTTTAATCATCGGGGAAAAATCTATTTTTTTATAATTTGATTATTTAGTTACTCAAAGGAAAAAAAGAAAAAGAACCAAATTTTAAGGTCACTTTCATAATTTAGAACCAAAAGACCAAGTTTTTTTTTGTGAAAAATCCTGAAAAATGAAGTATTTCAAAGTAACCTTTGTTTTCGGAGTCTTTTAAACTGTGATTTAAAAAAACCCTTTTCTTTGACCAACCAAACAGAAACAGAAGGTAGACAAGAAAGATACCTAAACATTATTTACTTCACTTATAATTTATTTCTTTCAATAATTTCACGTGACCCCAATTTGTAAGATCAGATTTCGCCTTTCAATTTGAGACCACGAACCCAGTGAAGATATTATAGTTGATTGGATGGAGTGTATGTCTGGCAGGATTGACTTTCGCACTATTTTGTTTTTATCTCATCACTAAATTGATTTTTCCTAACCACACAATTTATTCTTATTTATTTGCATTATAAGCCTAGTATATTCATAGCCGTATATATTGTTCATATTCCGGTTCGTACCCTGAAACATGAGGGCCTTGAACAGGAGCTTTAATGGAGATGGTGAACAAGTACATAACAATGAAGGCTCACATAGAGGGAGCCCAGAGGAGTCGGCTTTTGAGATGAAGACCGAGTATGTTTCACTCTCTCTTCTACCCGGTTCTAACGATGTCGTCGTAAAAACCCTTTATGTCTCCATTGATCCTTACCAGATAAACCGGATGAAGAGCTTCAGTTCCTCCCAGAAAGCTATCGGTTTTGCAGCCCGCATTAGTCCCGGCGAGGTGAATAGCTATCTAAGTTTTCTTCTCTCTTTCTTTCTTTCTTTTGTTGTTAAATCAAAGCTAATTCCTTCCCTCTTTATCAAAATTCTGCATGAAGAAAAGTCATGCTAGCCTGAACTTTTGAAAAAACCAAGAAATCCTTAATTTTTCCTATCTTATTCATATTGGTAACTTAACCTAATCATTTTGTTGCTTAGCCAAAAATTGGTAAGGTCTGATATTTTTGTGAACAGTCTGTGGATGCTTAGGGAGTGGGAAGAGTGGTGGCTTCTGAGCACCCAAATTTTGAAAAGGGAGACCTGGTTGGAGGACTCCTCAGCTGGGGAGAGTACAGCATAGTGAAGGGGGCTCATATGATAAACAAGCTCAACCCATGGTCTTCCCATTGTCCTACCATGTTGGAATTTTGGGTAAGTTTGTCCCTTTTCTGTCATGGACTTAAGATTTGCCAAAAGAAAGTTCAGAAAAAACTCGGGGAAATTTAAACTGAGGGAGTCCCTCCCTCCCTCCTCTCTACTACTCTTTTTTTACTTTTCTGTTGGAACAGACATAAGTGTTAGTTGTTTGCTCTTAACAGCGTTCAGTGGGCTAACAGCTTATGGTGGGTTTTTCGAAGTGTGTAAGCCAAGGAAGGGGGAGAAAGTTTTTGTGTCTGCAGCTGCTGGATCGGTTGGAAACTTGGTTGGACAGAATGCAAAGTTGTTTGGCTGTGCTGGCACAAAACAAAAGGTTCCGTATATTTGTTTGCGTAAAAAATACTCTCCTGTCTGAATATCAGATTAAATGATACTTAATCTCGATGTTATTATAAAAAAAAAAATTTAATTAATTATTAATTAATAATTTTATTAAAAAAATATAAATATAACTTAACTTTACTTACGAGAGGTATTAAAAATAAAAAAATTATTTATTATACTAAAAATTTTAAATTTACATTTTTAATTTTTAAATTAAAATTAAAAAATCAAACCTTTTATATCAACAATTTACTGTTTTTAAAATTTTTATTTTATAATCTTTTAATTTTATTTAATTTTTTAAATTTAAATGATAATTAACCTTTCTTTTACTTAAATGACATTCAATTATTCTTATTTCAATATTTAAATAAAAATTAAATATAATAAAATAAAATTATTTAATAATTAAAAATAATAAAATTAAATTATAAAAAGTTAATTCTTTAAAAAATTAAAAAAAGTCAGTTATATAGTATTTTAATTTTTAATTAAATATATAATTAAAATGTACAAAATTTGATTCTTTTCACTACTTTTTTAATAAAATTGTTAACTATCCGTTAATAAATAATTAATTAAAAAAAATATATTTTTTCATGACAAGAATAAACCTCAATATCATTTAACTAAATCTTGGGAGAGGATAGTATCTTTTACCTTATTTATATTTTGCATTCTATTCTATGTTTTATGCGTTTTTGAAAAACTACAACTCTGTTATGTTTATTGAGTGTGAGCTTAAGTTAGATTACAGGTGACACTATTTAAACAAAAACTAGGTTTTGACGAGGCATTCAATTACAAGGAAGAACAGGACTTGAAAGCTACCCTCAAAAGGTTTCTTTATATCTATTTTTAGTTTTAATTTCCTCTATTACTATTTTCTAAAATTTGAATTTTAGCCCTCTTTTATTTTTGAAAAAAGAAATTTGTCAACTTAATGTTCTAGGAAATTATTTCGCTAAGAATTTGAGGCTACACCTTTTATGCATTCTCTCCGTTCTCATCCACAGGTACTTCCCTGATGGCATCGACATATACTTCGACAACGTGGGAGCCGAAATGCAAGAGGCGGCGGTAGCCAACATGAACACGTTTGGGAGAGTAGCCGTCTGCGGCGTGATGTCAGAATATACTGATTCAAACAAGAGGGCCGCCCCCAACATGGTGGACGTGGTCTACAAACGGATCACTATCCGTGGTTTCTTGGCCGCCGATTACATGAACGTCCATGCCGACTTCATCTCGTCCACGGCCGATCATCTCCACAATGGCAGAATTCATGTCCTCGAGGACATCTCAGTCGGGCTTGACAGCATCCCGGCAGCCTTTGTGGGGCTCTTTCGAGGCGACAATATTGGAAAGAAGATTGTTAAAGTCACTTGTGAGTAGAGGAGAGCTCTTCCTTTTGGACTCTGAGAATCGGTACATATGGTCATGACCTTCATCACGGGCTGTTTGCAATTTTCTTCCTTTTAAATGCTTGGCAACTGATGTGAATGTTATGTCCTACTTGATTCTAATGTCTAAGGAGATGATAGAACCTTAAATTCTGTAACTTTTGAGACATTTTAAGATTCCTGTGACAAATTACTAATTTAAAATTTTGAATCACAAGACAAACATTTGCGTAAGGACAAAGAACCCATTGAAAAGTAGGAAGGTCTCTGTAGAAATTTCAGAATTCTTATTCTGATTCAATACAAAAAATGACGTGGAAATGAATTCTTTTTCCTCACAGTATTAAACCCAACTCGATTTATCAACTGGTTTGGGCTTGTTTCAGGTTAATTTCTGATCTTGTTTGTTAAATCCATCCCTACCCTGGCCCCGCTTTGAATCATCCCAAACATTTGCCATTAGGGTTGGTTGGGTCGGATTGAGTCCAAGATTTTTGGATCGTGTGTGTGTGTGTGTGTGTGAGAGAGAGAGAGAGAGAGAGAGAGTGAGAGTGAGAGTGAGATTAATTACGAGTTCGGCAGATGCGAGCATTGCTTCATGAAGACCCCTAGAGCAGAGGGCTCTCTAAATGACATCAGTTTCTTTGATCGAAGGCATCTCTGCCTCCACCACCCCAGCTTTTCCTTCTGCTGCTTTCCAAAAACGGCAGGCTCAGATTTAGAGATTATTAAATAATTTCACATATAACAAAAATAATAGGTTTTGGTATTTCTCCAACAAGGGATGTAAATTAATGTAGGCCACCAAAGTAAAAAAGATATTGACTACTTAGTTTGCAGGCTTTTATCTTCTAAAATTCTAACCCTCTTATTATATATTACATTCTGACTAATTTTAGAAATTTTTAATCATTTGAAAAAAAAAATCTACTTTCTAATATTTTATTTTGAGTGTTTAGTTACTTACAGGGAAAAAAAGACCAATTTTTCGTAAAAATTCTGAAAAATAAAGTCTTTTTAAAAAACCCCTTTTTTTGGATTTTTTTTTTTACTATTCTTCTAAAAAAAAAAAAAAACCCTTTTCTTTAACCAACCAAATAGAAGGTAAACAAGAAAGATACCTAAACATTGTTTAGTTGTAATTTTTTTTCTTTTCAATAATTTCTTATGAATCAGTTTCAAGATGAGGTTTTACCTTTCAACTTGAGACTACCATCCTAGTGATAGAGTTCTTTATCAAGTAAGCTAATCTCTCTTGGGTTTTCAATCGAAAGTATTGATGCTGTTAGACTTATTCTTCTAATCAGGTTGGCAAATAAGATGAAAGTGCTTTTCAGATATATTCAAGTTGGGGGACGCTCTGTATATGCCTTTTTTTCTTACACTTTTTTAGTTTATTGAATTGCTTAATTAGTCATTATTAGTGCGACCCTCGTACTCTTTGCATGTGAATCTCTTCTTAACCGGGCCAGGCCGAATTCGGCCACCACTGGGACAGTTCTTAAATTATTTTTTAAAAAATCCAAAAATTAATTGAATCATTTTTACGATTTAAAAATTTAAAGCTAAATTTAAAATTTTGTATTCATATAAATAATAAATAGTCTTATATTTAGACAAAAAAACAATTATGACGATCATTAGAGTTGACATATATTTGTTTCATAAACTAACAAATGTAAAAAAAAAAAATCACCTTTAATATATATATATATATATTCACACACACACACACACGTATTTTCAACCGCTAAAAGTTTTCTAATTATATTCTTGCAACATTTCTTCTTCCCATCACGTGTGTACATTCAATGCCCTTTCTACCCCAATTAAAGCATACGGAGAACATCTTTTGTGTTACTCAAAATTTGATAAATGTAGCTATAACTTATTGGATATTTAAATTTTGAAAAAATATAAGTCTTAAATTTTAATTTGGGGATTTTTTAATTTTAAATTGAAAATTTATAATTTAATCTCTAAACCTTTTTCCTTAAAAAACAAATTTTCAAGCTATGATCAAGACTTCATTAGAATTCGGATAAAAACAAGCAATTTTATTTCAGGGGTATGCGGCATAATCAATAGATAATTATTTATTTTAGATTCTTATTTATTTTATCACCATAAATTCTTTTTCTTTGGTAACGCCCGGAAAGTTATTAAGGCCAAGTGGAGGAGAGGGCTTTAGAACAATTTTTTCCCTCTCTTTTACAAGCACAAATAGCATTTTGCTTTCTAAAAAATATAAATTTTAACACTATATATCCCAAAAATACATTAAAAAATATTTCCCTTATAAATATTAAATTAATTATATTTATCTTCTCAATTAACATTTTAGTAATATTTTATCAAAAATTCTACTTTTATATATAATAAATACTTTTTAAATATAAATAACGATTATATATAAGTAAAACACGTGATTTAAAAAAATATTTATATTCTTTAAATGTAAAATTTAGACAAATAATTCATTAAAATGTTAATTGAGACGAGTAAGTATCAACAATTTAATATTTGTAAAAAAAATATCTATTTTATATATTTATAGAAAGTATAATACTAACATTTAAAATCTCCCCCTGATAAAACTTTTATTGTCCCGTTAATAAATACTCGAAATCCAGTTCAACTCCCCTTTTGGATAGGCAAATGGAAGATAGAGCAACATCTGATGCATTTAATTTAAGGAAATTGAGCTACACCCTTAATCATTATTTCATGCTGATAAATGGATTCCATTCTCGATCAAAACTAACATGGTAGGGGTAATTGGGTTAATTTAATATACTATTCTCAAATATAATACATTCTCCTTCCACAGATATGTGACAATTATATATATATAATAGGGTATAAATCATACACCATTACCAGAGAGAACTACAGTGCCTTTTTAGAACAACATCAAATAAATCGAATAATTGTTAGTTAGGTAAATTCAATATTTCACCCTTAGCAGAGGCTCGGGAAAAGGACGAGTTAAAAGTCCAATTATGATAGTTAAACTGGATGTATTTAAAAGAAAGACTAATAAAGTTTATTGTTGCCTTAAAGGGCCCCTCTAATTTAACACAACTAAGCTAAGATCTAAAACTAATTAAATTAACAAAGATTCAGATCAACTGGAATTGATAATGACATTAAGGTCAAGGGAGTTACTAATGTTTTTCTACTTAGTATAGATTTATCCTCTTTTGCTAATTATACGTTTCGAAAATTATTAATATTGAAACTCGTGCTCTGTGCAGGATACAAGTACTATGTACTCTGCTCGGGATAAAGCACACCATATACAAAGATAGATCTAAAAATACATAGAATATATATAAATTTGATATGATATATATATATATATCTCGCATAATTTACACATAACAATTATTAGAACTAACAAATGCCAGCTTAATAAACTGACAAATAATAAAAAAAATCTTTTACCAATTTTAGTGTATGTTTATATATATATATATATATATATAGATTATATGAACAAATCCCATGCATAGCACGGGTTAGCGCTTGTACATGTATGGATATTACAAAAATAAATGTATGCATATGAATATGGAAGCAGCTAGTTGCCAGGCAGTGACCAAAAAAATTTCTCGAGAAAAAAAAAAAGGAGGAAGACAAAAGGGAGCAAACTAAGCTACACTTAATATACCCTTCAAGTCCAGAATAGGGTTTTGGATGAGATAAAAAATTTAGGAGAATGTAGAGCTATCCCTTTGTCTCTAACTTCGATTTCATTAGGGTTTAAAATAGCCGACTGGGAGAGTCATATCTTGAATCAACAGTTATAAATGATGATAGCTGCAGCCAGTCACAGCAATATATGATCAATAAGCTAATCAACTTACATTCCATACAATATGATTCTAAAGACAACTTGTTATTTATTCCAGTACTTTCCTCATCAAATACATTCCACATTATATAATTTTGGAAACAACTTCATATTTCCTTGATCTTATACCAATATTCACAGAAAAAGATACACGGAGAGTAAATTAACATGAAAGACACAGTAGAAGCTTAAAAAGAGCAACAGACTATTGACAGTATCACTTGAATGCAAAGGCGGCTCATCAATTGGCCAAAACTTTAGACCTTAATTTCTTAATACATCAACATCCGGATCAACTAAACAAAGAAAGGCTTATTACCTTTCTAATCGAGCTTTGTTTAATGCCCAATAAAAGAAGGCATCATTTCATCACTAACCAAGCTTTGTTTCCAAGGAAGCAGTCTCCAGCTTGAAATACTCCCATTTCGTGATAGCTAAAGAAACGAACTTACAAAACTAGGCTATGAACATATGGGATAATTATACAAGAAGACACCCCGAAAATGTTATCTTTAGAATTCAATTAACTGAGTTCATTACTCAAAACTATTTATTTGCATTTTTGCAAAGGTAAAACTCAAACCTAATATTGTTTAATGATGCATGAGAGTAGAAAGAAAAATGTCCAACTTGCGCCTAAAAGCCTAACCTTTTCCTCTCTTCAAATTTCAATTTCAGATGGTCTTCGGATGGGAGCTTCCCACCACTCCTCATAGTGGTGCACCACCAAGCCATAAGCTCATCCTGTGAAAATTCAGAGGTATGCAGATGTCAATAGGTAATCAAGGAAAAATTATAACAGAAATGTTTTCATAAATGAAAATATATTTATAAATGCTAAGCACTGTTTCATGGAATTCTCTTAGCATATTCACCCAGTAACTGATGAAAACTATCTGGTTATGGTTTATAATCCCTCTTTTGGATTTTTGGAGTGAATTTGTTTGGGTTTTTGGCTTTTTAAGCCTGGGGGTGAGTTCTTAAGCTTAAAAGCACTATGCTCCCAAAAAAGAAACTTTTGTATCTGAAAATGCATACACTTATAGCTAAAATTACCAAACCTATATATAGAGCAAGCAAGTTTATGGGATAAAGCTCACCCAAAGGACAATTCTTACTTGCTAACTCTCCAGAAA